GTGAATTTTCTCTTGATAAGCTTAAGTTATACGCTTTTTGGCCTTAATTACTTTTTGGAATAATCGAGCTAAATTCTGCGAGATTGAACCCTCAAAACCTCATCCTCATTGGTTTCAGTAGTCTTTCCTTAATAGGTGTAGATAATTCATGTAATAACCCTCAAATCTTTTCTGTTTATGATTAGTTCTTGGAAATGTTTTTCTTGATGATCAAATTTATGTATTAGCAATGTCATCTTCAGTTATTTGATTAGTCAAATTATCCATTCTTCAATCATAGATTTCAGGGAATAAACAGAATGAAAGGTGAATGTGATTACTACATATTTCATTTTTACTGCATTACCTACCTTATTTGAGAACTATAATTGTTATTCCCATCATCATTATTTTCAGCATCATCAATGATATCTAATAGCTCTGGTATCTCTTTCACATACGCAATTGAACTTATTACTTGATCATGTATAATAACTTCAGTTCTCTTTCCTCTCTGATTTGTAAGAGAATCTTTGTCTTCTATAGTATCATCACTTAAGGGTCTTTTTTTCTGAAATTCTTATTCTTAGACACTATGTGATACTCACCAGAAATTAGTGCAAGTTCCTTTCTAATAAGTAATTAAGACCAAAAAGCGTATAACTTAAGCTTATCAAGAGAAAATTCACTGTTAATATTACTATGCTAAATGATTTAAAAAAAGTGTTAAAGATGTTAAATATAATGATAAGAGGGTTAAAAAATCAACAGACTAGAACTCAGGTATATAATGCAATTTTAAAATATCTTTTAAACATTATAATAGAAAATTTATGTAAGAAGACACAGAAAGCAAGAAATATTTTCGAATTGTTCAATAAAATAGGAATTAAAAAAGTTAAGAGGGTTCAATCCTATAGTGTAAATAATATTTTAAAACTTATAGATACTCAAAATCAAAAGTATTATAGCTCATTTAGTTCAAAATCATAAATTCTTTGCAGATCGCGTGAACTATAGTTTATGTCATATAACTACTGCACTACATATCAAAAATATTTTTTTAGTTTATCTTTACTATTTCTTATGATTAATAAATAAAGTTAGCTTGCGAATCGTTTTAACTAATGTATACTGTATGTAGGTGGTGTAGTGTTACTTTATTGCAAGACTTGTCAGAAAGATTTTATCATATAATTAGCTAGTAGATCCTACTTCTATTAGTTGGAAGTAAGAAGAGTCTTCATGATTGTTATATGATACAACATGTATTAGTAGGTCATTCTAAACTTTTTTTCATAAGTATAGTATATCTAGATAATATATCTGCCCAAAATAGGTTATCTTTTTTCGACCTCTTCATAGGGAATATAATCTTTAATCATAATCTTATAAATCATAATACACTAATGCTTATATAGTAAAGTGGTTATTCTATTAGATAGGATTTAGCGCTTAGTATCTATTGGGTAGAGGGTCTTCTTTTCAGATTTGACCAGAGATAACATGTGGTTTTTTGATCAAATACTTACATTCTTGGTATAGAATACTTCCTTACCAAAGAGACAATCTTGATAGACTAGAGTCATAGGGTCTGCCTCAGTTCACATAGCTAATTTCTTAGCTTCTTGATCCAATAATAAGTACTTATCTATCAGATTATCTAGCAGAGACCTCTCTAAAGATGACATATAGTATCTGTTGCCATTTCACTCATACCCTTTTTATTAACCCCCTTATGCTTAGACTTTGTGAACTTATCAATTAAGACATAGTAGTATAATTTAGAACAAATATGCATGGATTCAGTAATCACATTTCCTGAAGTCTCATTCTTATAAAGGCTTATAGTTTTAAAATTATTGAGATTAAAGAGATCTGAACGCTCAGCCATATCTTTATAAATATCTTCAGTCTCAATTTGAAATATAAAGGAATCAATATCCATATAGCTAAGCTAAGCTTTATCACTATATCTCTCCTTTATATATCTATACTAGAAGCGATACATGTTAAGCTTGTTAAGACTCAATACTGATATTCCAACTATTATAGGCTTATTAAGAGTCATACTAGCCTTTCCCATATGTGCTCCTACTAGCGTATCTTCAAGCTGTCTACTATACTTAAACGATAGGTTGTTAATCTTATTCAAGAATACCTTTTCATCCCGTTCATTATTCATCTTCAGAAGCTTCACTGGTCGAAATCAAAAAATCGGACATGCGAAAATCGGCCTAAAATCAGCCTAAATCGGCCTAAAATCGGCAAATTATCAAAAATCAGCC